AATATAAAGAAAATTAATTGATCAACTAAAAATATATAGAAAAAATTAGCGGGGCACAGAGGCTCACGCCCGTCGTCCCAGCTACTCGGGAGGGAGGCCGAGGCGGGAGGATCGCTCAACAAGCTCAGGAGTTCGAGGCCAGCCTGAGCCAGAGCGGGGGAAAAACAGACAGAAATTAATTTTCAAAATTAAAAACAAACAAATTAATTCGTCCCCTAAAAAGAGGTGAGAAAAGAGAAAATGTGGGGGAGGCCAGAACCCTGAACCCCCGAGACTTGGCCGGCCGGGGACAGCCTCTGGCCTCTGGTGGAGGCCCGTTGGGGACATGGGCGCCGGCGGGGACATCTGTGTCCCCAAGTGACGTCCCTGTTGGGTGCCACCAGGCAGCTGGAGTCCACGGAGGACCGGCCGGCCTGGCGAGTGGTTAGAGGCCGAGGCTGGTAAATAGAGGCCGAGGCCGGTAAATAGAGGCCGAGGTCTTTGTGACCCGAGTCCCCGGCAGGGAGGAGGCTGGGGCTCAGAGGGGTCCCAACGGGGGGCGGAGGGGACCCTGTCACTCACCCCATGATGTCCTGGACGTAGGACGGGTAGCGGAAGTCTGTCTTCCCGGCGCCGGTCTTGCCCACGTCCGCGCCTGCGGGCACAGGCCTGGGGTCACCAAACCCCGGGAAGGGACATCCTCGGCGGCCACCACCCCCCCTGTGGCACTTAGCCCCCGACAGGCTAAGGCAAGAATCTGCCGGGAGGGTTTTTTAAAAGTTAAAGCAATGGAGGCCGGGCGCGGAGGCTCACGCCTGTCGTCCCAGCTACTCGGGAGGCCGAGGAAGGAGGATCGCTCGAGGCCGGTATGAGCAAGAGCGAGACCCCGCGTCTAATAAACATAGAAATTAATCGGCCAATTAAAAATATAGAGAAAAAAAACGAGCCGGGCGTGGTGGCGCAAGCCTGGAGTCCCAGCTACCCGGGAGGGAGGCCGAGGCGGGAGGATCGCTCGAGGCCAGGAGTTGGAGGCCAGCCTGAGCAAGAGCGAGACCCCGACTCTACTAAAAAAGAACAGAAAGAAATGAGCTGGACGACTAAAAATATACAAAAAAAACGAGCCGGGCGTGGTGGCGCGTGCCTGTCGTCCCAGCTACTCGGGAGGGAGGCCGAGGCAGGAGGCTCGCTGGAGGCCAGGAGTTGGAGGCTGCTTGTGAGCGAGGCTGACGCTCTGCCCCGTGCGTGTCGTGCACACGTGTACACGCGTGTTGCATACGTGTTGTGCATGTGTGTCGCATGACTATGCAAACGACCATGTCTCTGGGACCCTGGAGAAAGGGGCGGGGCTTGTGAACAGGCCCCACCCCCTTGAAGCCCCGCCCCCACTCCCAGGGGTTCAGGGGTCAGGGGTCGGGGGTCGGGGGTCGGGCCCGCCCGCCGGGGCACCTGAGTCTCTCGATGCAGCGGTCCAAGCTGTCAGTGACCTCCATCAGCCAGCCTTGCTTGTGGCGCTTGTCCAGGGCAGCCTTGTCCACCTGGGGCCCCAGGTCACACGGCGGGGTCGGGGGTCACCCGGCTGCCACCGAGTGACACAGCCCGCGCTTCCGCTCCCGATTTTTCCCGCCCAGACTGTGCACGCGATGGCCGGCGCTGCGGCAGCCGTCTTGCGCCCACGAGGCAAGCGCGAGAAAACTCTGAGGATTCCGGCCCCCGGCGTCACCGAGCCGGGGAACCGACGACACCGAAATTTTCGGGGACCCCCCCCCCCGCCCAAAGGAAGATGTGGGGGTCTTGGGCGAAAATGACACCCCCTGTCCCCGTCCCCAAGACGCGACGGACGGGGAAACCGAGGCTCGGGGTGTGACGCGGGGAACTCGGGACGGCTTACCTCGGCGATCACGCCGACGCACCCCACGATGACGGCCGCCTTGGCCTGCGCCCCGCTCATGCCGCCGAGCCCCGAGGTGACAAACACCTTCCCCGCCAGGTCCTGCACGCCCAGGTAGCGCCGGGCCGCGTTCAGCAACGTCAGCTGCGGGGAGGCCGGAGGCTCGGGCGACTGTCCCTCCCTGTCCCCCTGTCCCCCCTGTCCCAACACCCGTCCCACCGTGTCAAACCTGTCACCATGATCCCCTTCCCGTCATGTCCCACCCTGTCCCTGTACCCGCTGTCCCCCGTACACAATGATCCCGTCCACATGTCGCCCCATCGTCCCCTGTCCGTCCCTGTACCACCTGATCCCACATGTCCCCTGTACCAACACAGAAATAACCCCGTCCCCAACTGTCCCCGCTGTAACACACCGTAACACACATGATCCCCCGTCCCCAGTAGTCCCCTTCCCCATGTCCCTGTACCCCATAGGTCCCCCATGATCACACCCTCGATCCACCGATACAACAACACATAGAAATACCACACCTGATCCCTGATTCAACAAAACCGTCCCCTGTCCCCGCCTGTCCCTGTCCTGTCCAGTCCCATGTCCCTCGTCCCTGTCCCCCAAAAGTCCAATGTCCAAAACCACCGTCCCCTGTCCCACACTGATCCCTGTCCCCAATGAAAATACCACACATAAGAATCCCCCATGTACCACAATGTCCCCGTACCATGTCACCCACATAGTCCACACTGTACCAACCAAACACAGATCCCATGTCCCCTCTTCCCCTAGTCCTTCCACAAACCCTGTCCCACCAAGTAACCACCAAAAAAAATGTACCCCCTGTCCCACGAAATACCCCTGATCAACGCCCAACTGTTCCCTGATCCCCCATGAAATCCCCCTGTCCCCCCGAACAAAAGAAATCCCCAATGATACCCACACCTGTCCATGATCCCCTGTCACCTGTCCCCGTCCAAAGATGTACCCTGAATCCTGTCCCCTGTCCCCTGTCCACCTGTCCCCGTCCTGTCCCCGTCCGTGTCCCCTGATCCCCATGTCCCCTGTCCCCCATTAGTACCTGTCCTACCCTGTCCCCCGTCCCATGTCCACACTGTACCATGTCCCCTGTACCCATGTCCTATCCCCTGTCACCCCACCTGTCCCCATGTCCCCTAGATCCCTGTCCCCTGTCCAAAACACCTGTCCACCGTCCCGTCCCCCTAAGATCCCTGTCACACCTACGTCCCCGTACCCTGTCCCCCTGTCCCCTGTATCCCCGTCCCATAAGATACCCTGTACCCCCATGTCCCTAAGAACAAAAAAAAAACCGAATCCGCCCCCCGTCCCTGTACCTCCTGTTCCTGTCCCTGTCCCCTTCTGTACCGTCCCCGTCCACCCTGTCCCTGTCTCCCCTGTCCCTGCCTGTCCCCGTCCTGTCCCTGTCCCACCGTCCCGTCCCCTGTCCTGTCTGTCCCCATGTCTGTCCACTGTCCCTGTCTGTCTCCCGTCCCATCCCTGTCTGTCTGTCCCTGTCAACCGTCCACATGTCCCCTGTCCCCCTGTCCCCTGTCCCCTGCCTGTCCACCTGTCCTTCTCCTGTCGCCCGTCCCGTCCATCCCTGTCCCCGTCCCCTGTCCATCCTGTCCTGTCTGTCCACCAATGTCCCCCGTCCCGTCCCCCCTGTCACTGATCACTTTCACCTTGTCCCGCCCTGTCCCCTGTACTGTCTGTGCACTGTCCACATCCCCTGTACAACGCCCCGTCCGCATAGTCCCCTGTCACCCATGTCCCCCCTGTACCTGTCTGTCTCCCTTCCCTGTCCCCATGGTCCCCCTTGTCCCTGTCCCCATATCGTCCCCTAGTCCTCATGTCACCCCCTTTGTCCCCCTGTCCAGGGGGGGGGGGGGAGGGAGGGGGGGGGAGGGGGGGGGGGAGACGGGGGGGGGTGTCCCCCGTCCTGGTCCACACCCTGTCCCCCTGTCCTCCGTCCCTGTCCCCCCTGTCTACCGTCCCTGTCCCTGTCACATGTCCCCCTGTCCCCTGTCCCCCCTATCCCTGTCCTCGTCCCATGTCCCCCCTGTCTCCATCCCCGTGCATCCCCCTGTCCTGTCCCCCTGTCCCCTGTTCCACCATCATCTGTCCCCTGATCCCTCATTCCCCTGTCTGCCCCGTCCCTGTCCCCCTGTCGTTCACCCGAGCTGGCCCCTCTCTCACCACCGTGCCGTGCACGATGCCCTGAGGGCCGATGTAGCAGTAGCTGCCCGCGGTCATCTGGCCGTACCTGCCGCAGAAAGGGGAAACTGAGGCCTGGCTCCGACCGCCGGCCACCCCCTCCAGGAGGCTTTAATTTTTTATCGGGGACAGAACGTCGCTCTGTCGCCCGGGCCGGAGTGAGTGCCGTGGCGTCAGCCTCGCTCGCGGCAGCCTCCACCTCCTGGCGTCCAGCGAGCCTCCTGCCTCAGCCTCCCTCCCGAGTAGCTGGGACTACAGGCACGCGCCACCACGCCCGGCTCGTTTTTTCTATATATTTTTAGTTGGCCAATTAATTTCTTTCTATTTTCTTAGTAGAGACGGGGTCTCGCTCTTGCTCAGGCTGGCCTCCAACTCCTGACCTCGAGCGATCCTCCCGCCTCGGCCTCCCTCCCGAGTAGCTGGGACGACAGGCGTGAGCCTCCACCGCGCCCGGCCTCCGTATTGCTTTTTAACGCTATGGGTGGGGGCGGGGGGTAGAAGGGGACAAGGCCGTGTCCCTAGACCCCAACGGGGACTTACATGGTCACCCCCAAGGCGAAGAGCTTCTCGTACTCCTCCTTGGAGGAGTAGTTCGGGACGACCTGTAAGAAGGAGAGGGGCGCTCGGAGTCCCGACGGGGAGGCCCGGCCTTCCCCCATCCCCCTCCCGAAGTCCCCCCACCCGGGGCCGGCCACCGGGGACCCACCATGCCGTTGGTGACAACCAGGCGTGGGGCACTGGGGCTGCTGGGGAAGAGCCCCAGGGGGTGGCCGCTGTACATGACGAGAGTCTGCTCCTCAGTCATCTTGGCCAGGTAGGACATCGTCAGCCGGAACTGCGGGGGCCGGCAGAGCGGGGGTGTCGGGAAGACAGGATTCCATTAGAGGCCGGCCTCCCGGCCTCCCCTGTCCCGTCTACCTTCAAGTCCCCCCTCACTAATCAAGGAAATAGAGAGAGTCGCCATTCGTCTCTTGTGACACCGCTGTTAATTGACGGCGACCGCTCGGAACTTAGAAGTTAGCTCCCGGAAAGACTTTGGACCTGCTTGTTCCCCTCGATGGATTAGAAGCCCCGTTGGGGGGACTTTTGACCCTGACCCACGACAAAAAATTATAGAGAGAGTCCCTATAGCTCTTTTGTGACACCTCTGTTAATTAACAACGACCTCTCGGAACTTAGAAGTTAGCCCCCGAAAAACTTTGGACCTGTTTGTTCGCCTCGATTGATTAGATAGATGAGAAGCCCCTTGTGGGGACCTTTGACCCCTGACCCACGACAAAAAAGTATAGAGTCACTCTAACTCTTTGGTGACACCTCTGTTAATTGACAGCGACCTCTCGGAACTTAGAAGTTAGCCCCCGAGAGACTTTGGACCTGTCTGTTCGCCTCGATTGATTAGATAGATTAGAAGCCCCTTGAGGGGACTTTTGACCCTGACCCCCGACAAAAAAAAATATAGAGAGTCACTATAGCTCTTTGGTGACATCTCTGTTAATTGACAACCACCGCTTGGAACTTAGAAGTTAGCTCCCGGAAAGACTTTGGACCAGCTTGTTCACCTCGATTGATTAGATAGATGAGAAGCCCCGTTTGGGGGACTTTTGACCCCTGACCCATGACAAAAAAATATAGAGAGTCACCATACATCTTTTGTGACACCTCTGTTAATTGACAACGACCTCTGGGAACTTAGAAGTTAGCCCCCGAAAGACTTTGGACCTGTTTGTTCCCCTCGATTGATTAGATAGATGAGAAGCCCCTTGGGGGGACCTTTGACCCTGACCCATGACAAAAAAATATAGAGAGTCACCATACATCTTTTGTGACACCTCTGTTAATTGACAGCGACCTCTGGGAACTTAGAAGTTAGCCCCCGAGAGACTTTGGACCTGTTTGTTCACATCGATAGATTAGATAGATGAGAAGCCCCTTGGGGGGACCTTTGACCCCTGACCCACGACAAAAAAAGTATAGATTCACTCTAACTCTTTGGTGACATCTCTGTTAATTGACAACGACCTCTCGGAACTTAGAAGTTAGCCCCCGAAAGACTTTGGACCTGTTTGTTCGCCTCGATTGATTAGATAGATGAGAAGCCCCTTGGGGGGACCTTTGACCCCTGACCCACGACAAAAAAAGTATAGAGTCGCTCTAACTCTTTGGTGACATCTCTGTTAATTGACAACGACCTCTCGGAACTTAGAAGTTAGCCCCCGAGAGACTTTGGACCAGCTCGTTCCCCTTGATTGATTAGATAGATGAGAAGCCCCTTGCAAGGACCTTTCACCCCTGACCCACGACAAAAAAAGTACAGAGTCGCTCTAACTCTTTGGTGACACCTCTGTTAATTGACAACCACCTCTCGGAACTTAGAAGTTAGCTCCTAAAAAGATTTTGGACCTGTTTGTTCCCCTCGACAGATGAGAAGCCCCGTTGGGGGCACTTTCGACCCCTGACCCGTGTGACCCGTGTCCCCTAGCAACCCCAGGCCCCGATATGCAAATGTGTCACCATGACGACCGATAATGGACATCCGTGTTTGATCAAAGCCTGCAGGGAGTCTGAGCTTGTGGCTGGCGGTTTGGGGGACACGCCTGTCCCCCGGGTGTTTGCAAGCCGGGACGAGGAGCCGGGGGAGGGGGCAGGGCCGGGAGGACGGAGGGCGCGAGAGGCGGGGGACACGAAGGCGACACGACAGGGACCTCGGTCTCACCTGAGCCCAGTTGCTGAACACCTGCCCGTTGCCGCCGTAGGTGACCAACTCCTGGGGGAACTAGGCGAGACGCGGGGACATCTGAGCGCGGCCGGGCAAGGCGGGGAGGCCGTGGCCACCGGCCTCCCACCACGGGCCTCAAACGTGGAGGCCAGGGGCAGAGGCCGCAGCGGCAAGAAAGAGCGCCGGCCCGGCCCGGGGAGGGGACAAGGGCCCAGCTGGAAGTCTGGGGACAAAGAGGCCTGCGGGAGGGCCGGGGACACACAGCGGTCAGGGCCGGCGCGGAGGCTCACGCCTGGCATCCCGGCTCTCTGGGAGGAGGCCGAGGATGGAGGATCGCTTGCTCGAGGTCAGGAGTCGGAGGCCAGCCTGAGCAAGAGCGAGACCCCGTGTCTACTAGAAAAAAATAGAAAGAAATGAGCTGGACGACTGAAAATATATAGAAGAAAAAATGAGCCGGCGTGCGTGGTGGCACACGCCTGTCTTCCCAGCTACTCGGGAGGGAGGCCGAGGCAGGAGGATCGCTCGAGGTCAGGAGTTCGAGACCAGCCTGAGCAAGAGCAAGACCCCGTCTCTACTTAAAAAAAATAGAAATAAATGAGCTGGACAACTAAAAATACATAGAAAAAAAAAAAAAAAACGAGCCGGGCGTGGTGGCGCATGCCTGGAGTCCCAGCTACTCGGGAGGGAGGCTGAGGCAGGAGGCTCGCTGGAGGCCAGAAGTCGGAGGCTGCTGTGAGCGAGGCTGACGCCACGGCACTTCAGCCCGGGCGACACAGCGAGACTCTTGTCTCAAAATAAATGAATAAATAAAAATAGAAAGAATAATTTCTAGAAATATAAAGAAAGAATAGAAAGAATATAAAAATAGAAAGAATACAGTAGAAAAATGGAAAGAACAGAAAAAAATAGGAAACAATAAAAAAATAGAAAGAAATATATTATGTATTATTTTATCATGAACATATAATTAATATAGTAATAATATAATTAGAACTAATT